AAAAGGAAAAATGGATAAAAGAAGAATATATACATATGGGAAAAGTTTATATAGAGTCGAGGCTCTAAACAATCAATTTTGAGCCTACCTCAAAAATTTCACTAGAAGAGGTTGTTTTGATGCTCGGATATCTTCAAATTAATCATCTTGACATCAAGATACATGGACATGAAAAAAAAAAAAAATTTTCAAGTTTTGAAAATAATGTATTTTATACTGCATTTTTTATCATCAATTTTCAAGATTTATAAGTTTTCATAAATCTATCGATCTACACTATTTTTTAAGCTTTAAATTTTATAGATAAATATGAAAATATATTTTAAAGCTATCATAAAGATTTCCAGTGATGAAACCACATTTTTTATATTTTTATTAGGTGTGTCTCATTAAGATGTACACACGCTCCAAATTTCATATCAGATTTATAGAAAAAAATTAAAATTAAAATACTCTCGAGTAACTGTGACCGTCAGATCGGCCCAGATTCGATCTGGGCTGTTGGGCATTTATTGTAGCGGTATGCACATGAGCGTTTACTGTAGCGGTATGTAATATATGGGCAATGATTTCATGCCACCGTTGTATAGTAATATGATGCAACAACCTTAAAAAACCATCTTATGGCCATTTGTTTGATCCAAAATTTGAAATATACACTCTTTTCATTCTAATGAACAATCACAAAAAAAGAAAATTTGAAAACACAACTTAGAAAGTATTTTTTTAACTCAATTAACATAGGTTGTACATTTTGGTGAGATACTTAGATCTAGGCCTTAGAAAGATTTTTTTCATTTCCAATGTTTTTTGATGGCTTTATTATTATTAGATGAACAATATTTAAAAAGAAAAAAATGATTTTGAGTTTATAAAGGCTAAGATTTTGAAATTCACAAAATGAATGGTCTCGATTCGTTTTGGAGGTGACTAATTTTGACCATATATAGGCTTCAAATTGAACTGCTTTTTTTGGGGGATTGATTATTGAGATGAAGAGAGTGTGTGTGCAAAATTTGGGATCATACAAAAACTACAAACATGGTTTTTTATAAGTGTCGTTGCATTATACTATGATACAACCGTTGCATTGGATCATTGTTCCGGCTAGATCACATAAATCCAACTTTCAAGTTTTAGATAAAAAAAAATTACCCAAGTGGGTTTTTGTGTTAGAAAGAGTAAGTGTACAATATGCTCCCAAGGAGCATGCTAAATCCACTCCTCAATGGAAAACAATCGACGTACTTAACTATTTATTACCTACTTAAATATGGAGGGAAAACACGCCACATCACCGAGTTTGATCGCCTTCTCTTGTTTACTAATGGTACCAAATGTTGGCTCTGTACTTTAGTAAATCTATTTAGGGCAAACTTAAGATGTATAACTACGGATGCACCTCAAAAATTCAAAGGTTGTTTTAATGTTAAAAAAACTCTCGAATTGATCATCTCGATATCGAAATATAATGAATAGAAGTTTCGGTGTGTTCTCTTCTAGAAAAACCAATCTTAGACATTAATTTTTGATTGATCATAAATTTGGAAAAATAAAATTTAACTATTAAAAATATATTAGACAATAAGAATTTAAATAACTAACCAAAAAATAGCAAATAGAAGAAATTCAATATTATTTATCTTAAGAATTATTTTTCTTTTCGAAATTAAGATCATGGTTGAGAGAATTGGACCTGATGAAAATTTAAATTCAAAATCTGTCAGTGAAATAGGCTGGGTCGGGTGATACATCAAAACCCCATTATCGTGTTATGTTGTGTAAACTCAAAGCGACTGGCCAAACTGGTCACCAGCTAAACCAATCCGCATCTCCAAACTAGCTGGATTGGGTCGATTCTTTGTTGTAGAATCTATCAAAAAATAAATAATATTTTCACATTTGAACAATAACCTTTATTAATATATATATATAAAAGAAAAGTCTTCCCAACACCTATAAATTTCATCGTGCGGTCACGATTGTCCTGTAATGTTTTATTTTTCATTTGTTTTCTATAATTCGAAATGACCTGAAATTTGAAAAGTATGTAGTATTTTATTTTTCATTTGTTTTCTACAAATCGAAATGACCTGAAATTTAGAAAGTATGTACATCTTACTGAAGTACATCTAATAAAAATATAAAAAAATTGACCAAAATACCCCCGAAACTTTTTGGAGGTATTTTGTTCAATATTTTCATGTAAAATATTTATTTTATATATTTGAAGAGTCCCTTATTTTTTATGAATACACACTCTAAATTTCAAGTCATTCTAATTTGTAGAAAAAAAAAATGAAAAATGAAATACTACCAAGCAATTGTGACTGCGTGATGAACTTTCGACAGTGATGGGGGTAGACGAAATCA